AACTCCTTGATTACCCTATCATACATCCTGCTATAAAAATGTGTATTAAGTTGAAACTTAGGAGCTTAAATTCTTTTTTTCTTTTCCTCATTTTCTATGGCTGGAGACAAATTTTTTATTCTAAATTAAGCCTTAATTTTAATTATCACTAATATTGATTAAAACAGCACATATATTTTACACTTTGATAAATAATTAATGTGCCACCCACCATTAGCTCCTATGTCCATAGAAGATTTGTACTTACTGCTAAATGAGACAGATTGCCTTGATTAAAAAGGGCTTTCTCATATCAGTGTTTTGAACTGCGGCTTGCTTTGTTTGTATTTGTTCTTACACCTTTGGGCAAATGCACCATTACGATTAGAAAATGAATGTAAGTGGCATCAGCTGCAGGTGGCTGTAATCCCAGCACTTTGGGATGCTGAGGTGGGTGGATTCTTGAGCCCAGGGATTTGAGTCCAGGAGTTGTTTGAAATCAGTCTGGACAACATGGCAAAACCCCTGTCTCTACTAAAAATGCAAAAATTAGCCGGGTAGCACGGCACACACCTGTAGTTTCAGCTTCTTGGGGGCTGAAGCACGAGATCACTTGAGCCTTAGGAGATTGAGTCTACAATGAGCCATGATCATGCCACTGCACTGCAGGCTGGGTGACAGAGCAAGACCCCTGTCTCAAAAGAGAAAAAATGAAAGAAAGTTGTGTCTTCTTTTCGTAAAGTCAGAGAAAGAGACCCAGCAAGACACCTTGAGGCTGGGCACAGTGGCTCACACCAGTACTTTGGGAGGCTGACGAGGGTGGATCAACTGAGGTCAGGAGTTCGAGACCAGCCTGACCAATATGGTGAAAACCTGTCTCTACCAAAAATAAAAAATTAGCCAGGTGTGTTGGCGAGCACCTGTAATCCCAGCTACTCAGAAGGCTGAAGCATGAGAATTGCTTGAACCTGGGAGGTGAAGGTTGCAGTGAGCCAAGATTGTGCCATTGCATTCCAGCCTGGGAAACAGAGTAAGACTCCATCTCAAAAATTGAAAAAGACACCTTGACCACAGGCAGATCAATTTTATTTTATGTATTTATTTAAAATGTTAAAATTTTAATTTTATTTTAGATATGTGGTCTTTCTCTGTGACCCTATTAAAGTGCAGTGGCATGATCATGGCTTACTGCAGCCTTGAACTGCTCAAGTAATCCTCCCACCTCAGTCTCCTGAGTAGCTGGGACTACAGGCAAGTGCCACCATGCCATGTTACTTGTTTTATTTTTTGCAAAGATAGGGTCTTGCTAGCCTCAAACTCCTGGCCTCAAGCAATTCTCTCACCTCCACCTCTCAAAGTGCTGGGATTATAGGTGTGAGCCACTGTGACCTGCCTAGATCAATTTTAGAAGTATACAAGTTGAAGATCTAAAAACTCACTTCCTTAAAACTTTCCCAACCTATTTATTCCTTAGAACATCTTTGAGTACCACTAGTGAATTTCAAAATCATGGATCCGGATGGAGGGCAAAATAAACCAGGCTTCTTTTACAAGGATCTTGGACAAGAAATTTGATTTGTGTAAATCTCAGTTTATGTCATAAAAAGTATGGGGGGATTGAGTTAATTTTTAAGATTTTAATTTTTTTTTTTTTTGAGACAGGGTCTTACCCTGTTATCCAGGCTGGTGTGCAGTGGCACAATCTCAGTCCACTGCAACCTCTGCCTCCTGGGCCTCAGGTGATCCTCCCACTTTAGCCTCCTGAGTAGCTGAGAATACAGGTGTAAGCTAACATGCCCAGGTAATTTTCAGTTTTTTTTTTGTAGAGATGGGGGTTTTGCCATGTTGCCCAGGCTGGTCTTGAACTCCTGGGCTCAAGTAATTAGCCCACCGTGGCCTCTCCAAATTTCTGGGAATCACGGCGGGAGGCAAAAGGCATTTCTTACATGGTGGCAGCAAGAGAAAATGAGGAAGAGGCAAAAGCAGAAACCCCTGATAAGCCCATTAGATCTTGTGAAACTTACTATCAAACTTATTCATTATCAATTTATTCACTATCAATAGCACAGGAATGGCCCCCATGGTTCAAATAGCTCCCCCTGGGTTCCTCCCACAACATGTAGGAATTCTGAGAGATACAATTCAAGTTGAGATTTAAATGGGGACACAGCAAAACCAGACACTTAAAAAAAAAAGTTTTATTTGTGTTTAGAATATGTTTTGAGGTTAAATTTTTTTCACATTATTGTTTATGTGGCTATGGGCAACTCAATCTCTTTGATCTTTACTTTTCTCATCTGTTAAACGATAATAATGTCACCTATTTTGTACTTCAGGTGAGGATTACGAGAGAAACTAAGGCTTCTTTCACTTAGCATAATGTCTTCAAGGTTCATCCATATTATAGCATGTATTAGATATTCATTCCTTTTTATTACTGAATAATATTCTGTTGTACGGATCTGCCACATTTTGCTTATCTGTTCATTATTTGATGAACATTTGTGTTGTTTCCATGTTTTACCTATCATGACATATTGTGCAAACATGTATTTTCATATATTTTGGGTAATATATCTAGGAGTAAGATTGCTGGGTCATATGGTAATTCTATGTTTAGCATTTAGAGGAACAGCCAAATTGTTTTCCAAAGGGGCTACACCCAGCCTGGTGCAGTGACTCATGCCGGTAATCCCAGCACTTTGGGAGGCTGAGGTGACGGCTCACTCAAGGTCAAGAGTTTGAAAGCAGCCTGGCCAACATGCTGAAACTCCGTCCCTACCAAAAATACAAAAATTAGCTGGGTGTGGTGGAGCGCCTGTGACCCTAGCTACTCAGGATGCTGAGGTGTGAGAATTGCTTGAACCTGGAAGGCGGAGGTTACAGTGAGCCCAGATTACCCCACTGCACTCCAGCCTGGGGGATAGAGCGAGATTCCTTCTCAAAATAAACAAAACAAAAAAAGCACAAAAGACATTTTGAGAGAAGATCTTCTAATAATATTTAACAAAATTTGAGTATTAAGCAATGATAAACATTTACTTTTTTAAAAAAAGTGGCTACCCATTTTTACACTTCTGCCAGCAAAGTATGAACGTTTCAATTTCTCCACATCCTGGACAAAACTTGTCTACTGATTACAGTCATCTTGTGTTTTTTATTTTGTTTTGTTTACTTATCTATATTTGAGACAGGGTCTTGATCTGTCCCCCAGGCTGGAGTACAGTGGCACGATCTAAGCTCACTGCAACCTCCACCTCCCAGGTTCAAGCAATTCTCATGCTTCAGCCTCTCAAGCAGCTGGGACAACAGATGTGTGCCACCAAACCCAGCTAATTTTTGTATTTTCCTAAAGCCCAAGTTTCATCATGTTGCCCAGGCTGGTTCTGGTGTTTGAAATGGTATTTATTTGAATTTCTCTAGTGGACAATGACATTGAGCATCTTTTCATGTGCTTTTTGGTCACTTGTATATCTTCTCTGGAAATATGTCTGTTTAGGTCAGGCGTCCCCAAACTTTTTACACAGGGGGCCAGTTCACTGTCCCTCAGACCGTTGGAGGGCCACCACATACTGTGCTCCTTTCACTGACCACCAATGAAAGAGGTGCCCCTTCCTGAAGTGCAGTGGGGGGGGGGCAGATAAATGGCCTCAGGGGGCCACCGCAGGGCCGTGGTTTGGGGTCGCCTGGTTTAGGTCCTTTAAACTTTTTTTTTTTTTTGAGACAGAGTCTCACTCTGTCACCCAGGCTGGGGTGCAGTGGTGTGATCTCCGCTCACTGCAATCTCTGCTGCCTGAATTCCTGTGATTCTTGTGCCTCAGCCTCCTGAGTAGCTGGGATTACAGGTGTGCACCACCACTCCTGGCTGATTTTTGTATTTGTAGTAGAGATGGGGTTTCACCAGGCTGGTCTGGAATTCCTGACCTCAGGTGATAGTCCGCCTGTCTCCCAAAGTGCTGGGATTATAGGCATGAGCCACTGCAAGCAGCCAAACTTTTTTTTTTTTCTGGTAACACTTAAGATCTACCCTCTTAGCAAATGTGAAATATAGGATCCGTTTTTCTTTGTTGTTGTTTTTTAGATAGTGTTTCACTCTGTCGCCGAGGCTGGAGTGCAGTGGAGGGATCTTGGCTCACTGCAACCTCCACCTCCAGGATTCAAGTGATTCTCCTGCCTCAGTCTCCTGAGCTGGGATTACAGGTACGTGCCATCACACCTGGCTAAATTTTGTATTTTTAGTAGAGACAGGGTTTGACCATGTTATTGAGTTTGGTCTTCAACTTCTGGGTTCAAGCAATCCACCTGCCTTGAATTTTAATTTAGATGAAATCCACTTTAACTATTTTTCCTCATCACAAGTGCTTTTGGCTTATTTTTAATTTTTTTTTTTAAATATGGTATGAGCTTGGTGTCTAGCTTTTTTCTTTTGCATGTGGATATCCAGTTGTCCTAGTATTATTTGTTGAAAAGTCTATTCTTCCCCATTGTATAGCCCTGGCACCTTGCTGAAAAATCAACAGACCATAAATGTAAGGGTGAATCAATTCTTTTTTTTTTGAGACGGAGTTTCGCTCTTGTTACCCAGGCTGGAGTGCAATGGCGCGATCTCGGCTCACCGCAACCTCCGCCTCCTGGGTTCAGGCAATTCTCCTGCCTCAGCCTCCTGAGTAGCTGGGCTGAGAAAAAAAAGTTTAATAGTTTTGACTGTGCAGGTACATTGAAAAGGTCTTAGGACCAGATCACTTTTTTTTGAGACAGTGTCTCACTTTATCACCCAGTCTGGAGGGCATTGGTGCCATCTCAGCTCACTGTAGCCTCAACTGCTGCTCACTGCTAGCTTCAAGAGACTCTCCCACCTCAGCCCGCCAAGTAGTTGGAACTACATGTGTGTATCACCACCCATGTTTTGTTTTGTTTTATATATATATATATATATATTTAGAGATGGGGTTTCTCCATGTTGCCCAGGCTGGTCTTGAACTCCTGAGCTCAAAGGATTTACTCACCTCGGCCTCCAGTTTCCTGCATGAGCCACTGTGCCTAGCCAAGATCACACTTTAAGAGTGGTATAATATGACCTGCCAAACAAAGCAAAAACGTAACCACCTTTTATTTAAAAAACAAAACAGAACAGGAAGCAACAAATAATAGCACACAAAACACACAAGCATGTAATCCTAGCACTTTGGGAGGCCAAGGCCAGCTGATCACCTGAGGTCAGGAGTTTTGAGATCCGCTTGCCCAACATGGTGAAACCTGGTCTCTACTAAAAATACAAAAAGCAACAAGAAGAAAAAAATGAGCCGGGAATGGTGGCAGGTGCCTGTAATCCCAGCTACTCGTGAGGCTGAGGCAGGAGAATCACTTGAACCCGGGAGCCAGAAGTTACAGTGAGCTGAGATGGTGCCACTGCACTCCAGCCTGGGCGACAAGAGCGAAACTCCATCTAAACAAACAAACAAACAAACAAACAAAACCCCAAAAAATAAAAAACAAAACATACACACACACAAGCAGTAATATAAAAAAATATAAAATCTCAATGGCAATTTCAATTTGAAATCTCTTTAATATTCAGGCAAGCAGACAGGCTTATAAACACAGCTTCTAATTCAAAGGTCGTTGCCATTTTTTGGAGTTTGAATCCTATTAATTATTAGCATTTCCAACCACATGGGCAGGTATCTTTGGAAAGTTCAAAAGGCTTCATTCACCCTCCCCCACCAACGATAGACTGAGGAAACGTGGGTGGTAGAACCACAGCAAAAAAATATTTTAGTACGCTGGGCACGGTGGCTCAAGCCTGTAATCCCAGCACTTTGGGAGGCCGAAACGGGCGGATCACGAGGTCAAGAGATCGAGACCATCCTGGTCAACATGGTGAAACCCTGTCTCTACTAAAAAATACAAAAAATTAGCTGGGCATGGTGGCGTGTGCCTGTAATCCCAGCTACTCAGGAGGCTGAGGCAGGAGAATTGCCTGAACCCAGGAGGCGGAGGTTGCGGTGAGCTGAGATCGCGCCATTGCACTCCAGCCTGGGTAACAAGAGCGAAACTCTGTCTCAGGAAAAAAAAATTTTTTTTTTAGTACATGTTTTTTGTTTGCAGCGTGGATTGGGAACTATCGATTTACTTTTTTTTTTTTTTTTAAACTCCATTAATACACTTACCCATGAGAATTACCCATTTACTATAGACCAAAGTATGTGACAGAAGGTAACATTCTCAAGTGGAACTGGTTGTAGATGTGGGGAGCTGCAAGCTAAACCTCTTATTTGCTCTCTTTGTTCTGTTATTCCAGGCTATTTAAGGTAACATTCTGACAGAATAGGTTGAACCTACATGTTTCTGAAAGCCACTTGCTGAACAGTCTGTTAAGAGGCTGGCTGCAGGACCTTCACTCAATAATACTGCCAACGAAAAATTTGTTTTGGGCATCCTGCCCCTAAAACTGAATAGAAAAGTATTCTATTCAGTTTCCCAATGCCTGTCCCATGGTGTGACCCACCCAGGCCTGCCCTCCTGGGAAATGCACTGACTTTAAGACATTACCTATTCCTTTGCCTTCTCCTTTACCCTTCAGCAAACAAACATCCTTTGTATTCTGCCAGTGAAGTCTGACCTGCCGATTGCCCAGGCTGGGGTGCTGTGTGGCACGGTCAGAGCTCACTGTAGCCTCGAACGCTTGAGCTCCAGGGATCCTCCTGCTTCAGCGTCAGGAGTAGCTGTGACTACAAGCTTGTGCCACTGCGCCGAGTTGGCTTGCCTTTCCAACCATTGTACAAGCCAATAAGCCATTGAGATTTTAATCTAATTATGCTGAGTGCTCAGTCTGACTGAAGGGCAATTCTAAGACAAGAAATGAGACATGAGGTCACATATAGCTATGCGTGGCAACCTCAGAGGTTTGGATATTAAGGTGACAGTGCGTGAAGTACTAAGAGGGCGGTCTCATCATTCGAACAAGATGTTTTGATTTCAAGGCCCCTGATAAAAGATGGAATTTTCGGGAGTTCTTTTAACATTCCACTTATTCCCTCTATTGATTTAAGGTCTAAACATTTTTTAAAGTAAACAGTGTTACCGAAGCTTGAGCTATGATTCCCAAGTGCGTTTTTTAGGATGAGACGGGGGCCTCACGGAGGTTGCGGTGGGCTGAGATTGCACTCCAGCCTGGGTAACAAGAGCGAAACTGCGTCTCAAAAAAAAAAAAGAAGGGGCCTCGAACTTTGGTGTACGTGAGACAAGTTAAATCAACGCCATCTCCGCCCTGTTTTGCGGGGTGTCTTCTCTTCTTTCGCAGCCGTTCCACTGCCCAGGCTTGACTGAAGGTAGACGACGGGGTGACCGCCCAGCCCAGAAGGCCACCAACAGCATTATTTCCCTCACAGTCTCCGGATATACTTGCTCTCACTGTGACCTTTCGCTCAGCAGGCAGGCAGTGCGGCGTCTGCAGAGAGCCAGGACGGCACTGCGCGCTGGACGCAAGCAACAGGCACGACCCGCGCGCCGCCACGGAGAGAGTCTCAAGCAACAGCAGTGGGCGGCGCACGGAACCTCTTCTTTCTTTAACCCCTCTTCATACCGAGGCCCACCCTCGCCGGAAGTCGAGCGGCAGCTACTTCTTGCCACTTCCGGTGCGGCCGGCCGGTCCCTGGCGGGAGCGAGCACGCCACTGCGCGGCAACTTTGTTCCCGCCTCTCTTGCCTCGCCACCACTCATCTTGGGCTTTCGCTGAGCGTGACGTGCGTGCGCGCTCCCGGTCGTGCGTCGGGGCTGAAGGGAAAAGCCGAACCAGCGAGGGGAGAAGGAGGGGTTGTGGAGGTTAGGGCCCAACCAGCTAGCCCCGTTGCTCTCCCTCCTACTGACGAGGAGAGAAGAGGGAAGGGGAGGAGCGAGCACGGGCCGGCCGCGCACGCCAGGAGCCTCCTCGTGGAGGGGGGGAGCGGAGGAAAGGGGTAGCTCCGCCAGCTCTGCTCGCGACGGCGGGGGCGAAGGAAGAAGAAAGTCAGGGCCGGTACCCACCGCCACAGACTCAGAAACGCCCCCGCCCCCATCTCCCCGGAAATAGCCCCCCGCCCAGCCCCGCACACTCGCTGCCCCAACCGTGAGCCGCAGCCCGGTCGCCCCCGCCTCGCCCCGCCCCGCCGCCCAGCCCCGCGGGCCGCAGAGTGCGCGAGGTCCCAGGCCGGGAGTTGTTGTCAGGCCCAGGCCACTTCCGAGGCGTCTGCGGTGTGTCGCCGCCACCACAGGAGGACGACGTCGACGCCGAGGAGGCGGCGGTGGAGGCGTGCTGTTGTCTCGCCCACTCCCCTCCCCTGAACTCGCACCCAACGTCAGGGCGCGATGGAGTGAAGCGGCGACGAAGGTGGTACTTCCGCGTTGCGCTGCCCGAGCCGAGAGCGCGGCCGAGGCCGCTCCCCCACCCCCGGGGGCACTTGGAGGACTCGGGACTGCCCCGCGGGTCAGCGCTCGGCGCATCTGGTGTTTTCGTTGCCGCGAATAGGACGACGAGCGCGATCGGGAGCTCCGCCGCCCGGATTCCTGCTTCCCCGAGGCCCGGAGGCCGCTGCGTACCCCACTGTGACCTGGAATCCAGGGACTCGAGTCCCGACCCGGATTATCGTGGCGCGTCTCCCGGCCGGCCCTGGTGCTCGGTGTCCCTCCGCCGCCGCTCCCGTTTCCGGCAGGGGAGATGGCCAGGGTCTGACCCGGGAGGAGGCCGCACCCGCGCCGCGCTCTGCGGCGGGCTCTAGGCGATGCCGAGCAGCTCGGACACGGCGCTGGGGGGAGGCGGGGGTCTGAGCTGGGCGGAGAAGAAGTTGGAGGAACGCCGCAAGCGGAGGCGATTCCTGTCCCCTCAGCAGCCGCCACTGCTGTTGCCGCTCCTGCAGCCGCAGCTCCTGCAACCGCCGCCGCCCCCGCCGCCTCTGCTCTTCCTGGCTGCTCCCGGCACGGCCGCCGCCGCAGCCGCCGCCGCCGCGGCCTCCTCCTCTTGCTTCAGCCCGGGCCCCCCTCTGGAGGTCAAGCGGCTGGCGAGAGGCAAGAGGCGCGCAGGAGGGCGGCAGAAGCGGCGCCGCGGGCCCCGCGCCGGGCAGGAGGCGGAGAAGCGTCGGGTCTTCTCGCTGCCCCAGCCGCAGCAGGACGGCGGTGGCGGTGCTAGTAGCGGCGGGGGTGTGACCCCGCTGGTGGAATACGAGGATGTGAGCTCCCAGTCCGAGCAGGGGCTGCTGCTGGGGGGGGCCAGCGCGGCAACGGCGGCGACGGCTGCCGGGGGAACGGGGGGCAGCGGCGGGAGTCCGGCCTCCTCCTCTGGCACCCAGAGGCGCGGGGAGGGGTCAGAGCGCAGGCCCCGCCGGGACCGCCGCAGCAGCAGCGGTCGGAGCAAGGAGCGCCACCGCGAGCACCGGCGGCGGGATGGGCAGCGCGGCGGCAGCGAGGCCTCCAAGTCCCGCAGCCGCCACAGCCACAGCGGCGAGGAACGGGCCGAGGCCGCCAAGAGCGGCAGCAGCAGCAGCAGCGGTGGCCGCCGGAAAAGCGCCTCGGCCACGTCCAGCAGCAGTAGCAGCCGCAAGGACCGGGACTCGAAGGCCCACCGCAGCCGGACTAAGTCGTCCAAGGAGCCGCCTTCGGCCTACAAGGAGCCGCCCAAGGCCTACCGGGAGGACAAGACCGAGCCCAAGGCCTACAGGCGGCGGCGGTCTCTGAGCCCGCTGGGAGGCCGGGACGACAGCCCGGTGTCCCACAGGGCCTCTCAGAGCCTGAGGAGCCGCAAGTCCCCCAGCCCAGCAGGAGGTGGCAGCAGCCCCTATTCCCGGCGGCTGCCGCGCTCCCCGAGCCCCTACAGCCGCCGCCGCTCCCCCAGCTACAGCCGCCACAGCTCCTATGAGCGGGGCGGCGACGTGTCCCCCAGTCCCTACAGCAGCAGCAGCTGGCGCCGCTCTCGCAGCCCCTACAGCCCTGTGCTCAGGTGAGTCCCGCCGTCCTGCCCGCGTGTGCTTTGGCTGCGCTGATCCCCAGCAGCAGGGAAAGTGGTGCCTGGGTCCTCACAACCACGCAGGTCCGCTACCGAAACAAGACAGCCCCGCCTGAGCCTCCCGGGAAGGAGAGGCGTTTTCGCGCGCCTGTGACACTTTTAGGGGGTCGAAGGGACAAAGCAACTGGGCGAGTGGAACTTTTCTCCTAGCTGTGGCAGGGAAGATTTCTGAGGAAGAATTTAAAGTTTCAGACGTGTTGCATTAATGTGTTAACGGGTTTCTCCCAATTGCTCTTTGTTTTTCTGGCACAATTAGTTTGGGTAAACTTAGAAGTGGTTTAAGTCGTCTCAATTTTGAAAGTTCTGTGAAGAGGTTTCATTGTTGAGGATTTAGGAATGGACTGCAGCTTAGGGTGTGATATCGTCCAGGGAGTAAGAATCAGGTGCTGATGTCAAGAGTTAGATGTGGATTGCAGATGTTTCTTATGATTATTACAGTGATGAGAGAAGCCTTTCTGTAAAGTTTATTCTTTTAGCATGTGAAAAAAGGTTATGTGGAAGTTGATAGTTCTGAATACTGAAGATAAGGAAGCTTTCTATTTAGTGATATTGTTGTGGGGGATTGTTTTACCTGATCTTCCAAAGTCATAATTACAGAAAGTAGAAAAAAATGACAAGATTGTGGTTTCTTGGTTTGTGATGACACCCAGTTGCTAATAACATTATAAATTTGGGTGGTGTAACCTAGTGTAACCAAGGGAATGACAGTACATTCTTACACTATTATAAGTCTGTAACTGCTTTATTTAAAAGTTAAGTGGACTTTTTTTTTGTTGTTTAGATATGCCCGAAGGATTAAAAACGCAAGATAAATAGACTTTTAAATATCAGAATCTTTGTTCAGAAATCTTTAAAAGGTTTAATTTAATTTAGTGAAATTGGAGTAAAAGTTTTATGTAGCTTTCTTGCCTGTTTTGTTAAATAATGTTCTTTTTTTAAAATGTGCCTTAAAATATACTTATCAACTAAGCAGAGTTCACTAAAAACAACTTTCGTGTATTTTATGGGTTCTTATATTCCTTGAGATGTTTGCACATTCCAGGCCTTAATGATTTCTATTGCAAAATGACATTTGGATCGCTTTTTCTTATTGGCTTTCAGTAATGGCAAGTGGATGCACAGTACCTCTAAGTATGGGTTATGTGGAATCTTAACACAATACAAATATGCATCTGCAAAATTAGCAGACCTCAGCCTAGTAAATGTAAAGGTGTGATGTTTGCAGAGATTTGAGCGTGTTTGTCTTTAAGCCGAAAGAGTTGTATAAATTGTTTCACTCTTAAGAGGGTTGCAGCACACTTAAAATGGTAGCTGATGCCTTAGTGAAGAATTGAAAAACTCATTCATCAAAATTAGCCGTTATATCTTGTAAGACATTGTATTTTACTTTGAACTATAACACTTGGTTTGCCAAAAGGCTTGCGATTTTTGCAGTTGAACTTGTTTTGCAAACTGGTTGGTTGAAGTTTCAGTACTTTAATAATTTAAAGTGTTTGATGCAATTTTAAGAATGGACTATGTATCAGGCTTTTTAGTTGCTGGATACTTTAGCGAGGTCCTTTATTGTATAATAGTAGTATGTATTATATATAATTTTGGTATGTATGATTAGGACTATTCACATTTAGTATTTTTGTATTGTATGCCATATACCGTTTTAGGTATTGAGATGTAGCTGGGAAGAATTAGTTACTGCCTTCATGGAGCTTACATTCTGGAGGACCATTCAATACAGAATCTTTTCATAGTGTTTATATTGACCACCGGTATTTCTAAAGGATTGAATTTGGAAGAACTTTAGGGTATCTTGGCTAACATTCCTGACAGATGGCCATTTGGTATGTGCCTGAAATACATCTGGAGGTGGGAAGCACATTACTTTGAGCAACCTGTCCACTAGATTTGGGACTTTAGCAAGATCCTTGGAGACTGTTTCCTAAACTATAACAGGGAAACACTTGTATTTTGGGATTATTTCAAGGATTAGGTGAAAATTTATGTTTTTAAAGCTTGCAACCTTACAGAAATATTTAATATAAGGTGGTTGAATTATTCATTATCTCAAATTGTTGGAATTTTTCGTATTATAACCAGAATTTTGAAAGTTCTGTGAAAGTTCATGACACTTTTATCCATTGCTCCAAGTTTAACCCTTTGAAATGGTACAGAGCATGCGTGTATGCTAAACCTTAAAATGTAAAGACAATTGTCGTGTCTTCTGAGTCTTCTAGGCTAAAAAACTCATACGGTTTTCAGATTTTTCACATTGTATCTAGTTTGTCAAATGTCCAGCTTAAAATGTGGGTCCCAGAATTAATAGCAAAATAGTTGATTGAAAAATCTTAAGATTTTAAAATACAGTAAATGTACTATTACTTTTTAAGAAGAGTTGCTTGAACTCACTTGTACAGATTAATGCAAAAAGTGTTGTTTATTTTCAGAATTTATTACTTGTGGTAAGTGGCTCATGTTCTTTAATGAGCAGACTGGCTATGAGTTCCATGAAGGCACTGGCCTGTCTTGTCCACCATTGTATTTCTAGTGCTCAGCATTGTATCCGGCACAAGTGCACTCTTAATAAATGTTGAATAGGTATATGAAGGGATGATGGAGTTTACTGAATATGCAAAATATTAATGTGGGACTGTATTACAAACTTTGTTTAAATATTTAATATAGACCATGTGCAATGCTGTAAGAAACAGTGTAATCTTTTCCCAGCCCACTCAGAACTTACATATGAATGAATTGTCAATGTAGGTATTTTTAAAGAAATACATACACATTCAAAATAGTATGGGAAATCATGGTATGAAGATTAAAAACAATTTTTTAAAAAAGTAAATAAGCTGAAAATAGAGATAGGGTTTTATCATGTTACCCAGGCTGGTCTCGAACTCCTGGGCTCAAGCGATCCACCTCCCTCAGCCTCCCAGAGTCCTGGGATTAGAGGTGTGAGTCACTGCACCCAGCCTGAAGGTTTTTTGATGTCAGATCCTAGAATAAATCCTTTCCATGTTAGTGGTTTCTACCTCACAACTTATTCTTTGTCTTCATTTGAATCTTCAGTCCTCAGCTCATGCATTTCATCAGTTCCTTCTTAACTTTGCCTGGCCTCCCCACCTCCCAGTATAACCTGTTTGCCATATTTTCTTTGCTAGTTGACTGTTGGGGTGCGGAAGGTCACATAATATTGCCGATTGGCCCTATAATAAATGTGAGAGTGTATTGAAAAGAGGGGAGGGTACTGTTTGTAGTGTTTTGCTGTGTGCCAGGCAGTGATAAATATTTAACATACATTGACCACCGAAATCCACGTGATAGTTGGAAACATTCTCACTGATGGATTGGGAAATGGGAGCTCTAAAAAGTTAAGTGATTTGCTCCAAGGTCAGCTTGGATTCAACCCTAGGCTGATTTGAAAGTACATGCTCTTAATTTTGGTTACAATATGAAGGTAGATTTTGGTTACAATATGAAGAATTCTAACAGCAGTCTATTCATTAAAGAACAGGGGTTACTTACCACTTAAAGCATATGCTATATTGAACTTAGATTTGCATTAAGGGGAGCTGGCAACCTCACACAATGACCTCTTTTGGTGAAAATCAGCTGCTGTTTGGATATTTATGTGTTCATTTCTGTTTCTTGGCCATTTATTCAGCATTTTGAAGGTTTTAAAAGACTAATCTTCTAAAGATTCTTTCAGCTTATTTGTGTTTATTAATTTGTAGTTTTTATAAACAATTAGGTTTACATCTTGTGGATGTATTTTCTACTTTGTCTTTACAAAGATTGGCTAAAAACATTTCTTGAAGGCATTTCTTGATGGTGGTTTTCCAGAGTTATTTTGATCTGAAGTTACTGATATCAGATTAGTTAAAATCAGTACAAGAAATTATTATGTATGTTTTGTTTTTTCTCTAAACCTATGGAAGTTCCGTTCCACCAAGAAAGACAGAAGGCTTCATAATGGAATAATAACAAGAACTTAAGAATCTGAAAAAGATAGGTGAACTCTAGATATAAATAAGTAAAATTATTGGTATTCACTTTTATGTGGTACTTCTGTTATGGATTATTTAGTGTTTTTTTCCTGATAACTATTTTTCTTTTTTCTTTTTTTTTTTTGAGACGGAGTTTCGCTCTTGTTACCCAGGCTGGAGTGCAATGGCGCGATCTCGGCTCACCGCAACCTCCGCCTCCTGGGTTCAGGCAATTCTCCTGCCTCAGCCTCCTGAGTAGCTGGGATTACAGGCACGAGCCACCATGCCCAGCTGATTTTTTGTATTTTTAGTAGAGACGGGGTTTCACCATGTTGACCAGGATGGTCTCGATCTCTCGACCTCGTGATCCACCCGCCTCGGCCTCCCAAAGTGCTGGGATTACAGGCTTGAGCCACCGCGCCCGGCACTATTTTTCAAAAGTATATGAAATGGAGATATTCCAGAATGAAAAAAAAAATAGCTATTCATAAAATATGCCACTGATTTAATATATGCTTAATAGAAATCAGTCATGAATATCCCTAGGTGGAAGGAATTCTTAAAATGCTTTAAACAGTTTCAAAAAATAGGATACTACAACAAATGTAGAAACTCTCAGAAGGGAATGGAAGTATAGATTGACTGTCTTAAATCTCCAAAGCTGCAATCATTATTTTCATTCTCAGAGTGAATGGCTTTGTGTTTTCCTTCTTCTCTGACCAAACTTTACCTGACATTTACATCTACTCAGTCCTTGACACATTTCTTTTCCGCTAACACTAATATTTATTTCCTCTTTTCCATTTCTATCACCCTTTAAGGTTAATCAGTTAGACTTCCTGTTACTGTTACCATTCTTCTCATTTCTTCCCAGATCGTTCTTTATCAAGAGAGTTTTCTTAAAATCTTTGTTTAGCTCATGTCACTCCCATTATATTAGAATTATTATTAGCATAAATCTAAACTTTTTTTTTTTTTAAAAGGGAT